TAATTTAATGTTGAAATAATTTAGTGTTATATAGAAAACAAGATATTCAAGTTTCCAAACAGAGTTCAGTAGAAAAAGATAGAACTTTTACAATCTATATTAACCACACATTATGTTAGCCATATCATCAAGATTGAATCTTTCGCAAATTAATTCGTGTCTTGGGACCGGTATATATTTTTTTCTGAACTGGAAGTGTTTGTTTGGTGCAGTGGTGCAATTGGGGCGAGATTATCTACAGATGCAGCCACCGTAAGAAGCCTGGTTGGCGATGCATTGGGACTAATAGTGCAAAATATAGCAACAGTTTTAGCAGGACTAGCTATAGCATTCGCTGCAAACTGGTTGCTAGCAATCATAATTTTAGCCATTCTTCCCTTTGTCGGTTTTCAAGGCTTCTTGCAGGCAAAAATCATGAGAGGAGGGTTATCCGCTGATGCCAAGGTTTTTATTCGACAACTTGTGGCTATAATAATAATATTACAAAAAACTTTGCAACATTTTCGAATCGGGCAATGTTTGTTCAAGATTTTCTATTCATACTCTGTTCAAGTTGATATAATATGTATGATTCGTACAGATAATGTATGAAGAGGCCAGTCAAGTAGCGAACGACGCTGTAAGCAGCATAAGGACCGTGGCTTCTTTTAGCGCCGAGGAGAAATTAATGAAAGCGTATGAGGAAAAATGCACGGCTCCCCTGCAACAAGGGGTTAAAGTTGGTATCATATCCGGAATTTCTTTGGGAATCGGCAATTGCATGCTCTATTTGGCGCAAGCCTTTTGCTTCTACATTGGGGCACTCTTAATTCAACGAGGCAAAGCATCTTTCGGAGAAGTATTCAAGGTAAATCAGTCGAAGAATATCATTATATCTTAAAATCGGGATTTTTTTATTTTTTATTTTTCTGTATGAATGATAAACTCGTGCACAGGTCTTTTTTGCGCTAACAATGTCGGCCACTGGGCTTTCCCAAGCAAGTGCGATGGCTCCAGATGTTAACAAGGTGAAAGACTCGGCAGCTTCCATATTCGAGATACTCGATAGCAAACCCAAAATTGACTCGAGTAGTGAAGATGGCACAACGTTATCCATTGTCAAGGGTGAGATCGAGCTCCAGCACGTGAGCTTCAAGTATCCGACTCGTCCCGACATTCAAATATTCAAAGATTTATGCCTAAGCATTCCTTCCGGGAAGGTACCACTATATTCGTCCTCTCGTAAATACCTTAAAGTTTTGATTTTACCAACTGGTCATAAAGTTTTGTTTTTACCAACTCAGGGTAAATCTAGCTGATAAGTTAGTTTATAGCTTTTTAAGTGAACTTCGAACTTATAGTTGATAACTTATGACATATGTCTGAAAAATTAGTTTATATTATAAAAGTTTTTGGTAAAATTAACTGATAAGCTAACTGGAATAAAAATTTCAATGGACTTATTTGAAAAGCAAACCTATTTGTTAAGCTAGTTTATAGCTTTTAAGTGAATTTCGAGCTTATAGCTGATAGCGTATGACATATGTCTGAAAAACTAACTTATATGATAAAAGTATTTGGTAAAATTACCTGATAAGCTAGCTGAAATAAAAATTTCAATCTGACTTATCGAAAAGTACCGAAGAAAAGTTATGAGTTAAGCTCGAGCTTTTTAATAAAGCTCGTCCTATCAAATCAATCAAGCTAATTTGAAATACAGAAAACTTATAATCTAATCAAATAAGTTATAACCTAGCTTATATGCCTACCCAACACAACCTTAGAATTTAAAGATATCGTTTTCTTTATTTATTTTTTCTCGTTTTAGACGGTTGCTCTAGTAGGCGAGAGCGGGAGCGGGAAATCGACGGTCATAAGCCTAATCGAGCGTTTCTACAGCCCCGACTCTGGCCGGATCCTCCTAGACGGTGTCGAGATCCACAAATTCAAGTTGGGCTGGCTGAGGCAGCAAATGGGCCTCGTGAGTCAAGAGCCCGTCTTATTCAACGACACTATCCGGGCCAACATCGCCTACGGTAAGACGGGCCTCGTGACGGAGGACGAGGTCACGCGGGCCGCCCAGTCAGCAAACGCGCACGGCTTCATTTCCGGAATGCCGCTCGGTTACGAGACTAGCGTGGGGGAGCGTGGGGTCCAGCTGTCGGGTGGGCAGAAGCAGAGGATCGCTATCGCCCGGGCGATTCTGAAGGATCCGAGGATTCTGCTGCTGGACGAGGCGACGAGCGCGCTGGATGCAGAGTCGGAGCGCGTGGTGCAGGGAGCGCTGGACCGGGTGATGGTGGGCCGGACTACGGTGGTGGTGGCCCACAGGCTGGGGACGGTGATGGGAGCCCACGTGATTGCGGTGGTGAAGAATGGGGCCGTGTGTGAAAAAGGGGCCCACGAAGAGCTGATGGGGATTGAGGGAGGGGTTTATGCATCGTTGGTTGCCCTCCACGCGAGTGCTGAGTAATTTCTAGAGGTTTGAGTTTCTCTCGTCTCGGGGTTTTTGTTTTTTTACTGTTGGGTCAATAATTGATCCAACGGATAAATATCGTTCATCGATACTGGTGGATAGTATGATATTATGTGTAGATAGTTTAATTCATGACTTTTTTTTTTTGGGCCAGAACAAAAAGATGGATTTCATGCCCAAAACCTATGTGAATTATTCCTTTCATTTGTAGCTAGTACTAACCCAAATTAATTATATTATGTGTCCGTTTGGTTGTTTTGATTGGACTTTGATATCAACAAGGTTGTTTATAATTTACTGTGTTTATTTTATTTGGTTCGTCAATGGATAGCCTGTGAAAATTTGCAAGCCCGGTGAATTATTATCCTCTTAAAAAGCAAAATTGGATTTCTTGTCCGAAATTCACTTCATTTCGAAAATTAAAAAGTGGAGCTGAAACAATACTATCGACACCTTACCTCGATAAATTTTAAGGAACCATAGTCTTGATCAATATAAATATGCAGAAGTTGCATATGGTAAAATTTGATTTATAATTCCAATAAAATATTATATATAGTTTTGCACATATGATGAAGAGGATTGTAAGTTAAATATACATTTATGCCAAATGAAGCAATATCATATAACTGAAAAATAAAACCAGACTACTTAATAAAGCTGATTGAATATATTGGATAGGGTTCAGAAACTGAAGAATTACTCAAGCTCAATACTATAACCAAACCAATCGGATACTAAGTTCTAAAGAAGTCAAGATGCGACTTCCCTTTGAGCTCCCCAGAAAAATAAATCCTTAGATAATCAGCTACACTAGTTGTCTTGAATTGGGCTGGGCTTTCGGAGCTTACAAGGCTTGGAGATGGGCCCAAATTGCCGTCAAGTCTGGGAGTTATAAATGTGGCAATTGAGAGTCTCTCCTTCTGTGAGTTCGTAATTGCTCTGTGCTCAATGCTCCTATAAATTCCGTTGGTCACAATCTGAGAATTCACATTGACAAATGACAATAAGAGTCGAGTCCATTTTATTGTAGTGAAAAGTGAAAACTCAAACTTTAACTTTTAAGGTAAAAGTTTTTCTATAACTATCAGAACTAGTAATTAGTTCATGCGGAAATAGTGATAAATTATTAACTTATATAAATTAAAGTATTAAAGGAAAAGGAATATTGATTACTACAAAAATAGTTTTTAACATTAATAATTTTTATTATTTATTATATATATATANAGCATCACCAATGTTGACAACAAATGCACCAGGGAGTGGTGAAACTGGGACCCAAAGCCCATCTTTCTTGACCTGGAGGCCCACCATCTCATTCACCTGTAAGAGAATAGTAAGCCCAACAGCATCAGAATGAGGGCAAAGGCCCATTACAAGCTCTGGCTGAGGACATGGAGGATAATAATTCATCCTCATGGCTTGTAGCCCTTCTCCAAATAAATTATCAATCTCTTCAGATTTCATTTTTAAGACTTTAGCCATTTGGTAAAGAATTTCCATTGCTAGTGCTTTCATTTCTGCTGAGTATGATTCTATGGCATCCCTGAAAAAAAAGTCCATAAAAGAAAAAAAAAAAATAAATAAATAAAAGGAAAGCAAAATAAAAAGCTGATTAATTTGAATTTGGCCAACTTGACCAATATCCATACATAATTCATGTTATTTTAATTGATATGCATATTTTCACACAATAATTTGTGAATTTTCACATTGGATGAATAGTAATTTTGGAATCAAAATAAACATTTTTATTTACCTGAATTTAGGTGGAAGCTTGGGAATTAAGTGGGACTTTCTCAAATGAGTTGGTTGAGTGACTATGTAAAACATATCTGCCCAATCAAGTTTTTGCTCTTCTGACACAACAAAGGCTTGCCCATAACCCTGCAAGTCTCCTGGCTCCTGATAATAGTTATTCTTTTCTTCTGTTGGGAGATTAAAAAAATTCTGAATTTCTAATTTCATTGTCTCTATCACTTTAGTGTCCACTCCATGGTTGATCACCTGCCCAAAAAATATAATATGTGTGAACAAATAATTAGGTCCTATTAATAGTCCAACGATAACTAGTTCGTTCGCAAACGTTCGATAATGTTCGTGAATATTAATTCAATATAATTCTATTTATTTATATATTTATATGCATGATAATTTTGATAAAAATGTAAAATAAAATAAAATATGTTTATTTTATTTTTTTATTTTCGAGCACAAAAGACATATTTCAAGTCAATCAAACATATTTTTTAAAAGTTTGCTTACAGATTATTTGAACACGAAAGAACTCGAACTTCGACGAACAATTAAATGAACAAGTTCGAACACGATTTTTTATTAATTTACATTTTCCCGTTTATATAACATATTATATGGTACGTTGGTCATAAATTAGAAGAATTCGTGCCTACTTTCGATTTACGAGGTCCGAGGACATGCATAAAGTGACAATAGATCTCGCCACTAATCTTATTTTAAAAACATATAGATAGGTACTTATGATTCATCAGGTGGGAGAAAAACCTTATGTAACATACCTGAAAAAAGCCCCATTCTTGGCATGCATTGTGTAGCATATGAAGCTCGAAATCCATGAAATCGGAGTCGTATAACTTGCGAAAATCGATTGTGGGAATTTCAAGTAAGGAAGAGAGGTTACTCGAGATATGTTCATCGGCTTCAAGACGAACATATCGTGATGGGACCGTAGTTAAGTTTTTCTTAGCCAATTCTTGTACAATGGGCACTTTTAAAGTCCCACCTAGCTTTGTTAAGCTTGAGTTCTCCATGACTGCTTGATTTCCTTCTGTATGTTTGTTTAGCCTTATAGAAACAAACCCGTGCATGTTTATTTATTGTTTTTTTATTTTATTTTATTTTTTGGCTGTCTTTTTACGTTTTGTTTCGAATAAAATAAAAAATCCATTTCGAAATCTGATTTGATGTTTACCCAACGTGACCACAATTGGATCACCAAAAAAACACTATAATGATTAAATTGATTTCTCACTTTTTATATTAATTTGTACATAAAAAATAGCATTGCGCGAAAATGTCATTTTAGCTCTAAAATTAGTAAATTACTGTCATTTTCGTGCCGGTGTCCATCCCTCAACCACATAGAGTGCGTTGATAATTAAAGTGTGTCGGTCATTCTAACGTAATTGCTAATTAAAAGTATCCAAAAGAAATAAATTATGTGAGACCGCTGCATAATAGACCCCCACACCCATCCTTTATACACCCTCATATTCATAATAAGTGTCGTTTTGGGAAATTGCACATTAATTAAGAATAATTATTTTGTCAATAATAACCCTTATTAATGAATATAGAAATGAATGTTTTAAAAAAGGATGAAGAGAATATGAAAAGACGTAGTGTATTTATTAACTAAATGAAGGTAATAATAGAAAAATATGTACAAAAGATTCAAAACGACATTTATTTTGGTTAGTTGATAAAGCTAAAATGACATTTAAAAAGAATAGGAGGTAGTATATAATTTGAGATCAGCTTTTAGTCTGAGTGACAGATTCACATGTTTCGTATTCTTATGGCAAAATATTAAGTTCTGTAATGTGACTCAGATAAAAACTAATAAATTTTTAATACCAAAAAGCATAGATTTTTCATTACCACACATACACGTATTTGATATATTTAAATTGTTTCATATAAATTTATTTATTATCTTCTTTCTATGATGTGCATATAATCTCACTTTCTAAATTTGTGTTCTATCTATATTATTTTCTTATGTGTTTTAAATAAAAAAATTATAAATAAAATTAAATGATGTATATAAATTAATTTTCAAAATTTAAAATAATATTGTTAATTCACTTAGTTCTTTGTTATATATTGTTCCTTATTTATTTTATCCAACTTCAACAAAATATATAAGCATTTTTTTCTTTCTTTTTTGTTGTACATTTAACTATTTTATCAACCACCCGGTAGTACACGAATATCGTACTAGTGTATATAATATATATGTGTGTGTGTAGGTGTGGCTATCCCATTAATGTTTCAAAAATTATTTTTTTTTTGGTTAATTATGACAACAAAACGGTACATTTATATTTACAAAGTATTAGTTATATCTTTTAGCTATTCTATTATATAAAGGCTATTATGAAAACTAACTAATTATGTTTTACACTAATTAAATAGTATATAAAAGTTACATAAGTATAAAAATTATATTGCAAAACTTTTTCTTTAAGTTAATTATCCAAAAATAAATATTATTTTTATTTATCTCATTGATCGATTGTTTTTTATATAAACTAATTAATTCTAATGGTAGTGAATACTCTTTAAAATCACATGATTAATTGTTATATATAATAGAAAAATTAATATTTTTACACCTAATTAATTTGTCGTGATTCTTCATAATTATAAAAATTATATTATTTATTATATTTTATGAAACTAATATAGTGATTCATATGCAGTTAACTATTTATTTTTACTAATGATCACATTTGCAAATGTAGTGTAATTATATATCAAACTTATAATTTAAATAATATATCATACATGTAACTTATAATGTTTTATTCACATCCGTGCATGCGTGCATAATCGATAATTCGTTTGTATAAATTAGATATCAAAATTTTTAGGTCTCACTTTAATTGAAATAGTTTGATAAACACAAATGTTGCAATTAAATAGATTTTTTAATTGTTAGGTGGATCGATCCATGATACTTGTTGAATAAAAATGTATCCTTACTCGGAAAAATGCATTTATTATTTTTTTTAAATGATATTTTAATATAAATAAAGTTGATTAATAGGAACACTCACCTAACAACAACTTTACTGTATTCAATAAACGTTCATGTTCCACCTGAGTTAATTTGTTGTTTTTCTAAAGTACTTCAGAATTCAGACTTGAGATTGTGTGGCTTGGAGTTCATGGTGGCCCAACATATTGTCTTATGCATACGATTTGCGACATAGAGCCCACTGAAGTTTGGAATTAATGATGAAATCTTACATGTAATCCACATTTTTTGGGGTCAAATTTTAGTGAACATTCAAGAAGTGTTGTTTGTAACGATTATTTCACCAATATTACATTACTAATACATGTGTATTAATATTATATTACCAGTACATGTGTATTACACGCGTGCTTGTTAAGAAATTTATATTTAAATTTTAAAATAATAATAATAAAATTATTTTAATTTACAAATACTTTTTTAATAACTATATTACCATTTATATTTAAAATAAAACACCTCACTCATACGACTTACCATCTTATATTATAATTTATTTTAAACTATATGATTTAACAATTGCGTAGTTAAATTGATTTAAATAATTTTATTTTTTAATTAATATTAACAAGTAATTTAATTTTTATTACAAAGATAGATATAATTAATTATTTATTTTGTATTTACAATATAGATGGCAAATCGAAACTCATCAAGACATGATTAATTTGATATATTATCTATAAAAATTTAATAATCAATAAAAAAATTATTAACTTTTAAATCTACTTATAATTTAAGTTAGTAATTTTTTCATAATTCTAAAAAAAAAAAGAAGAGGAAAAAAGAAAGACAGAGGAAAAAATTTATACCTTACATATCACGTATAGAACATGAAATTTGACATAATGAATTCTCTTAAAAGTAACCATAAATCTACTATATTATGGCTATTTCAAACCTAATTATTTTTTGATTGAGTAAATTAAAATCCATCAAAATTAAATGACAAATCTTGAAAATTTGTTACATTAGATCTCGAAGCATGCGAGTCTGTCACTTAAACTCAATAGAATTATACATAAGGGATTATATATTATGCACTCAAATCATAAGGGTGTCAAGATAGGACTTTCCATTGAGTTCCCGGCTAAAAAAGCCCCTCATAAAATCAGCACCACTAACTGTTTTGAATTGGGCTGGATTTTTTGGGCCCAATAATCTTGGAGCAGGGCCCAAATTGCCGTCGAGTCTTGGATTCAGAAATGTGGCAATTGAGAGCCTCTCCTTTTGGGAGTTTGCTGTTGCTCTGTGCTCAATGCTCCTATAAATTCCATTGGTCACCACCTGAAATTCATGTTGAAAATAAGATTATAGTTCCCAATCACATTATTTTAAAAATTATGAACAATCTAAACAAGTAATACGATCTTATTTGACTTTCAAAAGATGATAACCAAAAGTTTTGATATATAAAATAAGGGAGATTGCAAAGGATGCCCAGTAACTTAGAATATATGATAATTTTGTCCAGTAACTTTTGCAGTTGCAGTAAATATTCGTTAATTAATAAAATTACGGAGATTCTGCTAATACATGCAAGTTGGTGAGTATTTTCTACCAATTTTCACTAGTCTTTTTCTGAACATATTTTACTCGATTTCTAATAGTGATTGGGTATTTTTTTCATCTCGTCACAAGACATTGCCATATTTTACAATTTTTCTTTATAATTGGCAAAAAAAAAAATGTATTTTCCTCATTTAATACTAGAATTTCACTTCAAAATGTTATTTTATTGCACAATATCAATATGTACCTCCAAAGCATCACCAATGTTGACAACAAATGCACCAGGGAGTGGTGAAACTGGGACCCAAAGCCCATCTTTCTTGACCTGGAGGCCCACCATCTCATTGACATGAAGGAGAATAGTAAGCCCAGAAGCATCAGAATGTGGGCAAAGGCCCATTACAAGCTCTGGTTGGGGACATGGAGGATAATAATTCATCCTCATGGATTGTTGCCCTTCACCAAACAAAGCATTCATCTCTTCATCTTTCATTTTCAAGGCTTTTGCCATTTGGTAAAGAATTCCCATGGCTAGTGTCTTCATTTCTGTTGAGTATGACTCTATGGCATCCCTAATTAAAAAAAATAAATAAATTAATAATAAATAATTAAATAAGACAAGATTAAAGAATGGAAAAATTGACCCCATATGTCACGATCTTTTTTTCGAAATTGTAATTTAATAACGACAAATTCACTTTTGCAAATTATATCACAATTTTTAGTTTGTTGCGAAATCGATGCACGAAGTTCTGAAAACCAGCCCCAGAAAAACTAATGTGACCAAAAATCAAACTGAAGATTGTGATATAGTTTGCATGGGTTCTGCAAATCGGTTCACCGATTTGCATCAAACTGAAGATTATAATATAATTTATAAAAGTGAACATGTCATAATTAAATTGAAATTTCGAAAAAGATCACGATATTAATGACAATTATGCCTTAAAAAATAGTACTTGTAGCATTCACTTTAATTGATTGGATAACAAATTCTAGAATTGGGTTGAAATTTTTTAGGACATATTTTGAACCTGAATTTAGGTGGAAGCTTGGGGATCAAGTGAGACTTTCTTAAATGAGTTGGTTGTGTGGCTATGTAAAACATATCTGCCCAATCAAGTTTTTGCTCTTCTGACTTAACAAATATTTGCCCGTAGCCTTCAACATCCTCTGGCTCTTGATTATATTTATTCTTTTCTTCAGTTGGGAGATTAAAAAATTTCTTGATCTCCATTTTCATAGTCTCTATCACTCTAATGTCCACCCCATGGTTGATAATCTACCAAAAAAAAAAGTAAAAATTAAAATAATTTAGAATTGATCTTTAAAAGAAAAAAAGAAAATCACTATAGAATCATGTATATATTTGTTAACATGAAATATGCAAGAAATACCNTTTTTAATGGTTGTACTTTACACAATATCAAATGTGACAAAAAGTAAGTGCATAATATATATATACTTGAAAAAAGCCCCATTCTTGGCCTGCATTGTGTAGCTTACGAAGCTCGAAATCCATGAAATTTGGATCGAGTAACTTTTGAAAATCGATTGTGGGGATTTCGAGTGAGGAAGAGAGGTTACGTGAGATATGATCATCGCCTTCAAAACGAACATATCTTGATGGGACTTTGGTTAAGTTCTTCTTAGCCAATTCTTGCACAAAGGGAACTTTTAGAGACCCTCCATATTTTGTCAAGCTTGACTCCATTTTTCCCCAATTTTCTTTGTATTTAACTATTTATTGGGCTTAGTATTTTCTATCTATCTTTTTTCCTTCATCAAAAAATAAAGCATATTTTCTTATATGGACAATCTCAAAATTTGTTTATCGTTGAGTTATTTAACTAAGGGGACCTAAAATGGACCACGTTATTATTACATTATCAATTAAGATGATGTTGTAATTTTGAATTTTGATATCTTGGATATTTGTATTATTGTCCATACTTTTCTGCCACACATATAACGTGATTACGCGTGGCTAGGATGAATTGCGCAGAGAGTTATGAGCAATAATTGAGATTGAGAAAATGCCATGGGATATTAAATATTTTCAAAAAAATAAAATTAAAAAAAAAAATGTCTTGTCCCAAAAAAATGAGATGAAATAATTTTTTTTATTATTTTATAAAAACAATGAGGTAATTTAATATTATAAATGAATATGATATAATAATATAATGAATAAAGTTTGTGTTCTATAAAAATAATGTAATATTAATTGATATGAGTACTGATTGTTAAAAATAGATGAGCGAATTACGAATAATGTTTTATTTTATAGAAAATATATATTAATGATTATTTTTTTAATTTTTAATTGTGTGTGCCAACTGTAGATAGAAATGAATAGTATTTTTGTAAAATAAATTCTTTCAATATCACTTTCAATAAAATAATAAATTTTGACCGAGCAAATAAAAGAAATTTATTTTGTATCCAATACAAGGACATTATCCTCAT